TGAGCTTATACTGGATGTATTTTTCAACTGTCTGTTTTGTGCAGTATCTTAGAGGTCTATGTTATGTCAATTAATTGCCTGTAAAAGGACCTTTATTCTCATTATTCCCTCATTTTCTTCCAATGTTACATTCTCATTCTTTTTTTTCTTTAAGATTTCATTCATTACCATCAGTAAATCAATGTATCAAAAAACTATAGTACATCTACACGATGGGATACTATGCAGCAGAAAGAAATAAGGAGATCCTACCCTTTGCAACAGCATGCATGGAACTGGAGAGCATTGAGCTTAGTCAGAGGTATCAAACTCATTTTCACCTGGGGCCACATCAGCCTCACAGTTGCTTTCAAGGGGCTGAATATAATTATAGGACTGTATAAATATAACTACTCCTTAACAGTTAAGCGAGAGCTGGTCACTGCTGCCAGGTAGAGACAAGGTGCCAGGCCAGAAAAAACAAGAAGGTCTGGATTTGGCCCATGGGCCTTGTGTTTGCCAAGGAACAACTGTGTGCTAAGTGAAATAAGTCAGGTGTTGAAAGACAAATACCATATGATCTCACTTTTGAGTGGAACCTAATCAACAAAACAAACAAGCAAGCAAAATATAACCAGAGACATTGAAATAAAGAACAAGCTAATAGTAACCAGAGAGGAGGGGCAAAGGAATAATGGGGGCAAAAGGGTTTTCAGGAACAACTATAAAGGACACATGGGCAAAACCAAGGTGTGGTAGAATCCGGGGAGAGAAATGGGGATGGCTGTGGTCAGGGAGGGGAGTGGTGAGGGTAAAAGGCAGACAACTGTATTGAATAACAATACAATTTTTAAAAAAGATTTTATTTCTTTTTAGAGAGTGGAGAAGGGAGAGAGAAAGCGAGGGGTAGAAATATTCATTTGAGATAGAAACATCAGTCGGTTGCCTCTTACCCGTACCCCACCTAGGGACCAAACTGTCAACCCAGGCATGTGCCCAGACCAAGAATCAAACCAGTGACCTTTTCCTCTGCAAAATGATGCCCAATGACCTGAGCCACACTGATCAGGGTTTATTCTTAACAATATTTTCAAAAACTAATATCACAAAGTTTTATTACTGCTTATAAAATCTACAATTAATACAGTCCCTGCCCACTGATTTTCATAGCCCTGCCATTTCTTTTATTTCTTTATTTTTTATTGTTGTTCAAGTACATTTGTCTCCATTTCCCCACCACTACTCCTCCACCACCCTACCCATCCCCACCTCCCACCCTCGATCCTACCCTCCTTTGCATTGTTCCTGTGTCCTTTAAAAATGTTTCTTGATGACCCTTCCCATTTTCTTCCCCATTATTCCTTCACCCCTCCCCTCTGGTTATTATCAGTTTGTTCTTTATTTCAATGTCTCTGGTTATATTTTGCTTGCTTATTTGTTTTGTTGATTAGGTTCCACTTACAGGTGAGATCCTGTGGTATTTTTCTTTCACCATCTGGCTTACTTTGCTTAGCATAATGCTCTCCAGTTCTGTCCATGCTGTTGCAAAGGGTAGGAGCTCCTTCTTTCTTTCTGCTGCAGAATTCCCTTGTCTAAATGTGCCATAGTTTTTTGATCCATTCATTTACCAATGGGCACTTAGGTTGCCTCCAACACTTGTCTATTATAAATTGTGCTGCTATGAATATCGGGGTGCATAGGTTCTTTTTCATTGGTGTTTCAGGGCTTGTAGGGTATAATCTGAGCAGTGGAATTGCTGGGTCAAAAGGCAGTTGGATTTTTAGTTTTCTGAGGAAATGCCATACTGTTTTCCACAGTGGCTGCACCAGTCTGCATTCCCACCAACAGTGCACTAGGGTTCCCTTTTGTCCACAGCCTCACTAGCACTTGTTGTTTATTGATTTGTTTATGGTGGCCATTCTCACTGGTGTTAAGTGGTATCACATTGTGGTTTTAATTTGCATCTCTCTGATGGCTAGAGATGCTGAGCATCCTTTCATATGTCTCTGGCCCTCTGTATGTCCTCCTTGGAGAAATGTCTGTCCAGATCCTCTGCCCATTTTTTAATTAGTTTGTCTTCCTGGTGTGGAGTTGTGTAAATTCTTTATGTATTTTGGAGATCAAACTCCTGTCCGAGGTATCATTGGTAAATAAATTTTCCCATATGGTTGATTCTCTTTTCATTTTAATGCTGTTTTCTTTAGCCATGCAGAAGCTTTTTATCTTGCTGAAATCCCATTTGTTTATTCTTTCCTTTATGTCCCTTGCTCTAGGGGACATATTGGTGAAAATACTGCTGTGTGGAATGTCTGAGATTTTCCTGCCTATGTTCTCCTTTAGGACTTTTATGGTGTTACAACTTATATAAGTCTTTTATCCACCTTGAATTTATTTTTGTGTATGGTGTAAGTTGGTGATCAAGTTTCATTTTTTTTGTGTGTAGCTGTTCAGCTCTCCCAACACCATTTGTTGAAGAGGCTATTTTTATTCCATTTTATGCTTGTGCCCACTATGTCAAATATTATCTGACCATAGAGACTTTGGTTTATTTCTGGGCTCTCTGTTCTGTTCCATTCATCTATGTGTGTGTTTTTATGCCAGTACTAGACTATTTTGACTACTGTGGCCTTGTAATATAGTTTCTTATCAGCTATTCTGATGCCTCCTACTTTGCTCTTTTTTTTCTCAAAATTGCTGAGGCTATTTAGGGTGTTTATGGTTCCATATAAATTTTTGAAATATTTATTCTACATCTGTAAACTATGTCATTATATTTTAATAGGGATTGCATTTAATCTATAAATTGCTTTGGATAGTATGGACATTTTGATGATATTAATTCTTCCAATCCATGAACATGGTAAATGCTTCCATTTATTGGTATCTTCCTTAATTTCCTTCTTCAGTGTTGTATAGTTGTCTGAGTACAGGTCTTTTACTTCCTTGGTTAGGTTTATTCCTCAGTACTTTAGTTTTCTTGTTGCATAGCCCTGTCATTTCTGCAGTTGTTCCCAAGTATGTTACAACAAGAATGTTGAAGCAATGACCTTTGACCATTTAATAATTTTGACCCACCTCATGATTTAACTGTTCCATTCCACATTCTTTTACTCTTAGTATATATTTCTATTCTTTTAGATTACTTTTTTTTTCAGAGAGAGGGGAAGAGAAGGCAAAAGACAGGGAGAGAAACATCAATTGGTTGCCTCCTGTTCACCCCCATATAGGGACCAGGCCTGCAACCAAGGCATGTGACCTAATAGGGAACTGAACCAGCAACTTCTGGCTCCCAGGCCAGTGCTCAATCCACTGAGCCACACCAGCCAGGGCATTGCCATTACTTTTAAATTGCATTAACAAACTAATACATTCACCAGGTAAAGCAAATTGTATGGAAAGGCTTAACATAAAAACCAGTCTCCCTGGTCTGCTGCTGTCATGCCACAGAGAATGGCTGCTCTGAGCTGCTCAGTTTCAATCCATGTTTCCAAATAATGTGCTCATGCAGTTACTACTTTTTTAAAAAAGAATTTAAAAAAAGCATAAAAAGGTGCTCAATGTCACTTGTCAATTACACCTAAATAAAGCTTTAAAGAAAAGTACACTGAGGATTTTGGAGAAAGGTAGAAAATAAATTATGCATGAGTAGGAAAGAAAAGTGACATTTCTAAGTATACTAAATGTTTTTATTTTTTCAATTTCATTGTTTATGCTATTACAGTTGTCCCAGTTGTACTAAATGTTTTTAAATTTTAAAAGTTGCACTGCAAAAATGAAAAGGTGCACAGTGAAAAATTTATGTTATATCCCTAACTCCACTGTACCCATGCTCTCGTTGATTGCTATCACTGACCATCTACAAAGAGTGAACTTTATGCAACTCAGAACTGTTCCTGGAAAGCTAAAGGATGAAACTTGAAACTGTAATGCTGAGTGCATGCAATTGTGATTTTGATCAGTAATTGTTAAAATGTCCTTGTTGGGAGGTGATACCAGTTTACAATCACAAGCAGTGTATGTCTTCAGGCTTTGGGGTTTTGCCAGTGTAACAGGTACAAATTTGTACCTCAGTATAGTTTTATTTTGAATTTACTATATTATGATATACTATTATTTTCCAGTTTGTCAATATTTGACATTTGCTATTGACTTTCTTCCACCCTTACATGTGATGATTTAGCTCTTTTACATTACTTTCCCAAAATGCCCATCTTCCCAAGAATTGATGTCAGACTCATGTGGGTGATTAATGCTTACATTGCTTTGAATTCATAATTTTTATTCCCTGCAGTCAAGTAGTATACTATACTAGTATTACAATTCCTTTTTTTCATTTCTAAACCTAATACTTATTTTCTAAAATGTTTTATATAGAGGGGGTTAATTCTGTATTGTTTTATAGGGTTTTGAATAATTTGGTTAATTATTTATCAACAATTGATTCAACTTAATGTTCTGTTTTACTGACTTCTTCGCTCATTCTCATTTCTTGTATTTGAGGTAATTTAAAATATATTTTTTGCTATGGTACATTTCTGAGTAATTATTTTAGTAATTGTTTAAATCCTTCCTTGTCTGCAAATGTATCTATTTATTCCTCCTACTGAAGTGATTGATTGGTTAAGTATACTGTTTGGATACTTTCAGCATTTTCTGGGATTTCTTTTTTGCTTGAAGTCTTGAGGTTTCATAATTACATTTTTAGCATTCAGTGGGCTCTGAATCTTCAGTACAAAGAAGTGTTTAATTTGTGGGAGGTTTTTTTTTTCTGTTGTTTCATGATAGTTTCTTTCCCTTCATTCTATCTTGTCTATATTCCTAGAACTCCTACAAAATTTGTGTTTATTTTTATCTTTCCATCCATCTGTCCTTTTATTCTGCATTATAGGAGAATCTCTTCATCTTCTATCTCAGTCGTGTATTCATTTTGCTATTTAGCCCTTCTGGATTACAGGCCTCAGAATCAGACTGCCTGACACTTAGTTACCTAACCATTAAAACCTTGGTTTCCTTGTATGTAGAATGAGTGTCCTGAGAGTTCCTCTCACATAAGATTGTACAACTACTGCCTGAGTGCTTCAAATGGATATGGTAAGTCTTCATTATTATGATTATCATGTTTTTCAATCTTTTAATTAAGAAGAATTCTGATTATCTGTTTTTCATAACATGTTCATGTCTTGTCTTGTTTTCATGTGTGATATCCTGTCAGATTTCTCTAATTATGTACCTTTTAAATTCTGTTTCCTCTGTTCACTATTTCTTGAGTTTATGCCACTCTCTATGGAACTTAGATTCTACTTTTTTATCTGCTTACATTTTTTTATTGTCTCATTTGTTCCCAGAAGTCTTATGTTCACAGTATTATACTGGAATGTACATCCTCAGCTGACACACAACCCTCTTTATTGCATGCAGGTTATATTTATAAGAGACACCTCTAATGGCTGGGCTTGGAATGGATATAATAAGAATCCTGATGGTAGATGTATACTCTTTTTTTGTGGGTGCCTTTTCAGACAAGTAAGTTATCTGGAGCATGCCATAATTTGACCTCTAGCTCTGTTATATTTCCCTTGTCAAAAATCTCACTTCATGGGTTACCTTGAGGCTTTGTCCTAGGCATATATAGAGTCAATTTTCTCTTTTTGTAACTTAATCAACCCTCTCATTATGCAGGTTTAGCATTACCTCAACTTCTTCTCTTTTCAGCTCAACTAATATTATTGGGAGTCTTTTCTTTAACAGATTATTTATTTTGTTATTCAGATTTTGCGGGGGCCTATTTCTGTTAACTACCCAGTATTTCATTTTTTGTTGGGAAAAGGGTGGTTGGGAAAGTGGTGCTGCTAATGGCAACAGCTAGTCTAGCCATCAGAAAGGACTAACATGAATTAATAAAACAGCTTCCAGGATAAACCTCTCTTATTTTAAAATGTTGATTCTGAGTTTGGAATTGGAATTTTTTGACTTTCTAGGACTTCTTGAGAAGATCTTTCAGTCCTGCAGAAGTCTTCCTGTACATGATTTGAACTGTGCAGTATTTTTTTCTAGTTTCTCCATCATTTCTAATCCATCTGTTCATTATCATTTAGGAGTTCCTTGACATTTTTATTCTGGTAGTGACAATCCCACTTTTTTCCAAGACTTTTACAGATTTCTTTTTGTCATTTCAGTGTAATATTAGGATATGCACTTTGTTTTGACCAACATGTATATCCTAGTAAGTCTAAAATCTGTATTTTTAGCACAATTCTCTTTCAGAAATTCCAGACCCATATATTTCATTGCTTACTGAACATTGTAAGAAGATTCCACCAGCACCACAAATTAAACATTAGATATAGAGTTTGTCATCTGTCCTTCTTCTCCACTCCAGCCTTTTCCTTTTGCATTCCCTATTTTATTACATAGTATCCCCAAGCCTAATCACTAAAGCAAGGAACTGTAGGTTGTGCTTGGTGTTTCCTTTCCTTTCTTTGTTTAGTTACCACATTGTTTAAAATGCCTCTGTCCCCTCTCTCCATAACCATCATCCTTACCATTTTTCTCCTGTTTTGCTACAGCAATTGTCTCTCTACGTAGTCTTGCTCATTTTCAATTGTTTCATTCCCAATTGAACTCCTTCAATAGCTTTAAACCCCTGAGGATTTTAGCCCTAAATCCTTAGTAGTACACACCAAGACCTTTGTTTTGGCTCCTGCCTTCCTCTCCAAGGCACACTTTTTACCACTGTTACCTACTTTATATCCTTGACAAGAAGTTGTTTATAGTTATCTTGAACATGTTATATTTTCCCTTTTTGTTTTCCTTACATATGCCCCCAGGCTTGGGTCTAATGCCCTTACTCTGCTTGCATGCCTGGTTGTGCCTGCATCTTCTACAGCACTGGTATGGTGTTATCATTGATGATATATTTGTCTTTCTTCCCAGTAGGCACTAGCTTGTTAAGTAAAAAGATTGTTTTCTTTCTTGTATCCCTAGCATCTATTAAAGTGGATTACCAATGATATGCAAATTTGCTTAAAATGAAGTAAAGTGAAAAAAATGTAATTTGTAGCAAGGATGTGAGATATGTAGCCTACTGCAGAGATAGGGGAGGAACACTTTTATTGACAATGCTTAAAAGCAGAGAAAATATTTCTGTTTTGTGTAAAGCCTTCTTTGACATTTAACCAAAGGACATGTCTGTAAGAACAAAACTGAACTTTTTCCAAATTACTAAGTCTTCATGACTTAGGCACTTCAGTTCTGAAATCTTGAAATCTATCCTTTGTTTTTGTCACTGAATTTTCTTTGTTTTCTAGGAGACTTGAATGAAAATTCTGTGAAGACTCTTCAAGAGAAAGTGTTTAGGGATCTACTACATAAAGAGCTTTCCTGCTGGTTGATTTGAAGAGATGACCAGTACAATAACTGGAGAGTCTTCAAGAAGTGTACAGAAATCTTGAACTAGATATTTTGGGGATAAGCATCTTCTCACAGTTCCTGAAATACAAGCAGTGTTTTGACCCTTCAAAGTGATGATTTCAAAAACATGGAAAGTGAAGAATATTTGTCTTTGAAAGTTCCAAGCCAAATGGCCACACTGGAATCCTCAGTGACATTTTATAAGAATGAGCCCCAAGATTCTCAGAAGAGCAAAAGTCTGTTTGTAAATAGAGAAAGCACTAAGAGAAAAGTGTTAGGAGGAAAAAGCCCTCCTCCCATAGACCATTGTTCAGAGACCCTTCATGTTAAACTTGTGTCTGATGTAATAGAACTGGCCTCGCCATTGTTCAGTGGGGAAGTAATTTGCCAGAATAACCTATTGAAAGAATCCTTGGATCCTTTAGATGGCAACTGTGATAACATTTGTGGTTGGGAATCCCAAGTGGTCAGTGATCAGAGAGCTCATGCAGAGGAGCATCCCTGTAACCATTATGACTCTGGCAAAACACCTAAAATCAGCACAGAGAGTCCTCCATGTAAGAATATCCACATTGCAGAGAAACAATACCAATGCAGTTGGTATGGTAAGGACTACAGTGAGAGCTCAGAACCACTACTTCATCAGAGAGACCACACAGAAGAAAAGCCCTACAAATGTGAACAGTGTGGGAAGAGTTTTGCAAGGAGCTCAAGTCTCCTCATCCATCAAGCAATCCACACTGATGAGAAACCTTATAAGTGTGACAAGTGTGAGAAGGGCTTCACAAGGAGTTCAAGTCTGCTCATCCATCACGCAATCCATACAGGCGAGAAACCTTATAAATGTGACAAGTGTGGGAAGGGCTTTAGTCAGGGCTCCAAACTGCATATCCACCAGCGAGTACACACGGGTGAGAAGCCCTATCAGTGTGGGGAGTGTGGAATGAGCTTCAGTCAGCGCTCTAACCTGTATATCCATCAGCGAGTCCACACAGGAGAAAGGCCCTACAAATGTGGAGAGTGTGGGAAGGGTTTCAGTCAAAGTTCAAACCTTCACATTCATCATTGCATACACACAGGGGAGAAGCCTTACCAGTGCTATGAGTGTGGGAAGGGTTTCAGCCAGAGCTCAGATCTCCGCATCCATCTCAGAGTCCACACTGGGGAGAAGCCATATCACTGTGGCAAGTGTGGGAAGGGATTTAGCCAGAGTTCCAAACTCCTCATCCACCAAAGAGTACATACCGGAGAAAAGCCCTATGAGTGCAGCAAGTGTGGGAAGGGCTTCAGCCAGAGCTCCAACCTCCACATTCACCAGCGGGTTCACAGGAAAGATCCCTGTTAAAGAACTCTTTAATTACATAGTCACATTCTAAAGACTTAAGTATTTTTAACATCACTCTTCCCTATATATTCTATGAAGGAGAGAGACAATAAGTTATTAAAATATGTTATTAAGATGTTCCCTCACTGAAAAGGAATCATTCACTTAAAGTATATAAGTGCCAAGAACTTTTGTTATGCTGTACAATGAACTGCTTTTTCTAGTTCCTTAGACAGGTAGAGTGAAAAGATCTGTACTCTACAGTTCAACCAGTGTTATTGGAACTATATTCCCTACCCAGCATTTACAAAGCAAGAACTTTACATTTTATCTAAGCATAACATGTTTTCCTTTGTTCACAATCTCTGAGAAAATGGAACACTGATTTCTCTTCAAAATATGTGCCTTGTGTTTTTCACATTTCTTTCCAGCCCTAAGTAGCCCCAAATAAACTATAATTTCATAATATGTTGGTTTTAAGCCAGGGGGTGGTTGGAGATATAATGGGCATAGAAATTTGTTGTGTTTATTGCAAAAATGTACAACAGTCTCACAAGAAGTTGGAGAAGAACTACTTCTGTAATACACCCCACGTACCATTTTATAGGATGTTGAACCCTCCTCCTCACAAAACAGCAGCTCAGGAACATAAGTACTGTAGTTCTTTTTCATGGATGCTACTAGTTTACTGGGGTTCTTCCAGATCTCACCACCTTACATGACTTCCCCAAACTAAAGCCAAGTAGGTTACATACACATGTTGAAATATGTCAAATGAAGTTGAAATATTTAAATGAATTCCATTTCTCTCTCAACACTTCTTTCTCATTTCCTTAATTTCCTTGACCACCCATGTTTCATACTAAGCAAAACAAAGGAGTCAGGAGAAAAAGTTTCTGATATTTGTGTCTTCAGGCTTATCGTTTTAATATTTGACTTACCCCCTCCCAAAGTTATTTGTTTTTGCAGCGTCTCCAAACTCTAGACCTCATTATAGATATCTAACACATTTATAAAATTATTTTTATATTTGGCCCTGTCTGGCGTAGCTCAGTGGATTGAGCGCAGGCTGTGAACCAAAGTGTCGCAGGTTCAATTCCCAGTCAGGGCACATGCCTGGGTTGCAGGCCATGGGCCCAGCAACCGCACATTGATGTTTCTCTCTCCCTTCCCTCTCTAAAAAATAAATAAAATCTTTTAAAAATATATTTTTATTTGGCTAAAAATACTTCATATAAAAATAGCTATATAAAATTTTTTTAAAGATTTTATTTATTTATTTTAGAGAGAGAAGGGAGAGAGAAAGAGAGAGAAACATCAATTTGTGGTTGCTGTGGGTCGTGGCCTGCAACCCAGGCATGTACCCTGACTGGGAATCAAACCTGCAACACTTTGGTTCGCAGCCCGTGCTCAATCCACTGAGCTATGCCAGCCAGGGCTAAAATTTTTTAAACCATTTTTGGAGAGCATGTTTGAAAAGATAAGGCCTAAAGTATGCATTGTATCATACAAAATTCACTTGCAGTGTGGGTGGGATTGGGCATGGAACTAGGACACCTGAAAAGTTAGGCAGCAGTTAATACAAGAAGCCCATGTAGCAGTTGAAAGTAGAAAAGGGATTATAAATACATAATTAAACCAGAAGTTGCCATATAATGAGCTCTTTTTTTTTTTAGTTTTTTATTTATTTTTAGAGAGGGGAGGAAGACAGGGAGAGAAAGATAAATGTGTGGTTGCCTCTTATGTGCCCCCTACATGGGACCTGGCCTACAACCCAAGCATGTGCCCTTGACTGGGAATCAAACTGGTGACCCTGTGATTTGAAGGCCAGCACTCAATCCACTGAGCCACACCAGCCAGGTCCCATACAATGAGCTTTTAATTGCAGCTCTGAATTTCTGAAGGATGGTTAATGATTCCTGAAGCAGTGCTTAGGAGACTGCCCACTTTTCCTCATCTGTTTTTCTCCAATGAGTAGTACCCATATGTGGAAAAAAAATCAGTAGGGGAAATATGGATGCTTTATTTATTGGCCTGAGAATTATAACTGATACATACAGCCAAAGGTGACAGTTAAGTGAACATAGATAACAGAAAGTATACATTAATTTAGGGGAAACATAGCTAACTTCTAATAAGGAATGAAGGAGGGTGACAAATTGAGACATTTTCCCCACTTCAGGAGATAGCCCAGAATATTTGACTCCAACCCAGAGCAGTCCATATACAATGATTAGGGTAATGACTGAGTTTTTATATCCAAAGTCTCAAATGGGTTTAAAATACCCTGCTTTTCCAGATTTCCTTTTATACGTATCTTAAGTTGCCAGTGTTTTTAAGTACGTTTAGTTTTTACTGTTTTCTTTTAAGCATTACCTTCCTTAATAGAACTGAAATGTGATGAGAGTCCTTGGGGAACATTTCAGTGATTATGGAAAGGAAGTTTGGGGAAACCAATATTTTAGAAAAAGAGGGACTTGTGCATGAAAATGCAGAAAAAGCAATGGGATGTCACATTTCATCAGATGTTAAGATGCCATGGATTGTGAGGGAAAAAGAAACACATTGTTGCTTTCTGACACCTTAATTTCAGACATGTGTGAAAATGAGGGGGAAAAAAAAGATGTGTATTAGGATTGCTGAGAACTCATTTGGTTTCAGAGTTCAGGGGTTGCCCTAGGCTTTTTGTGGTTGTTATTGTTGCCCTGAGCTTGATGCTTTACCAGTACTGGTTGATTTTGAACAAGGATGTTTGGTTAGTTTTAGTAGTCTCAGTAATCATCATAGTCAATTGATAATTCTGCCACTAGCAATGGATCTAGTTTACAGATTATTATTTGTTGAGTACTGGAGACAAGCTTTTACAATTCTTGAAACTCTTACCTATTCAATGATGGTATTTGCCTTCTATGTAGGTTGTTTAATATCTTCAGGTCAAAATACTGGTGAATATGTGATCACTTCTTGTAGTCACAGTTCCAAATTAGAGTATTTTTAATTCTTCCTTTCCAGTGACCCACACTGACAACCAAAAACATAGTTCACTTTTACAGCTCTCATCCTTCTTCGCTATACTTTCATTGGCAAGAAAAGTTCATAACAGCATGGAGTGCAAAGCTGGACCCTAGGTAATGAAAGCAAGGGAAGTCCAAAGAAATATGTCACCAGAGTGAAACTGGCATTAGGTTGGTACCTGAGAGCAGGTATACCAACAAGCAGGTATAAGAGGTAGATCTGGGAAAAGCTAATGCATAGGAAGCATGTGGTAACTGATCAAAAGGGGCTGCAGAAATGTCAGGGTTTGGTCAACTAAGCAAAATGGCTAGCAGAGAAGAGAATAGGAAATGTGCTTCTGTTAAACACTGATCCCCCTGGACAGCAGTTAATATGGTAGAAAATATTTTTTTAATTTAAAAATCATAGCAATAAAAACAGGAGAAAGACCAGCAAATGATATCTCCACAAAAAAAAATTGAAAGACAGAAGGAAGATAGCTATATCAGAGCAGAAGCAGGCACCACTTATATTGCTTGCATGTGAAGATAAGGATGAGAAGGAACCAGTTTGGCTGCAGGCTCAGACATGCCTAATGGAAATTGAATACATGGAGGGAAAGCAGTATGAATGGCTGGTTACATATGGAACATTCCTCTCATCCCATACACACATATCCTTCTCCCCAGCACCTGTGCACTGTTGACCAGGGATTTACCCTCCTGCAAGAGGTGAGAAGTTTATTCGCTGCAGAAATTGGCCCCAAGGGAGAGACTTCTGTGTCTTTACATTTGGGAATCAAAAACAAAACAACTATCTTCTAGCTCCAATACACTTACAAAGGTGAAAAATTCATAAAATAAAAATGGGTAAAATCGAAATGGATATAGGCAAATTTTCAATTAGATATTTCAATACATAAGTTATCCATAGCACTAATGGATAGAAAATCAGTTAAGATATGTAGGATTTTCAATTAACTTGACTGGTGTTTCTGGACCACCACCCAACAACAGCATAATACATATTCTTTACAAGTTCACATTTTTGGCTTAAACAAGTTTCAGAAGGCTTAAAAGAATGGAAATCATATAAGATGTGGTCTATCACCAGAACAGAATTATGTTAGAAATCAGTAACATCTGAACAATCCCCAAATATATGGAAATTAAACAACAAATGAGCCATAGGTTAAAGAGGAAGTAATGAGAAAAACTTTGAAAATACTTTAAATTGAAAGGATATATCAAAATTTGTGGCTGCAGCTAAAGCAGTGTAGAGTTCTGTTAATATCTTGATGCAAATAAATTCAACAACTTAGGTGAAATTGAAAAAGTCCTTGAAAAGGCATGAACTGCCAAAGGAAAACTTGAATAGCCCTATTAAATGAATTGAATTTGTACCTGATGACCTTCACACACACACAGAAAAATTATAGACAGACCCAGGATTTAAATTCACTTGCATTTAAAGGAGACATAATAATTCTATACAAACTCTTCTAGGAAAAAACACTTTTCAACACATTTTATGAGCCAACATTACCTACATACCAAACCCAGACAAAGACACCTCAAGAAAGTAAAATCATTTCAATATATTTCATGAACATAAATGTAAAAATTATTTTTAAAAATAGCAAACTGAAACAGCAATTTATAAATGGTGTCAACACAGGATCAAGTAGGGTTTATCCTAGAAATGCAAGTTTGCTTTAGCATTCAAAATCAATGTATTTCATCTTTAACAGACTCAAAAAGAAAAACCATAAATACTCTGGCACATAGAAAAGGCATTTGAAAAAAATTCACTCATTGTGGATCAAAAAATTGGTAAATTTACACAATGGAATACTACACAGCAGAAAAAAGGAGCTCCTACCATTCACAACAACATGGGTAGAACTGGAAAGCATTATACTAAGTGAAATAAGTCAGGCAGTGAAAGAAATACCATATGATCTCACCTATAAGTGGAACCTAATCAACAAACAAGCAAGCAAAATACAACCATAGACATTAAAATTAAGAACAAACTGACACTAACTAGAGAGAAGGGGGGAGAGGGATAATGGGATAATATGGGAAGGGCCATCAAGGAACATGTATAATGAACACATGGAAAAAGCCAAAGGGGGTAGGTTTGAGGGTGGGGGCAGGGATGGGTGGAGCAGAGGGTGTGGTGGAGTGAAAATGGAGACAACTGTACTTGAACAACAGTAAAAAAAAATGTATAAAAATACAAAACAATAAGAAATTATTCAATATAAGAAAAAAATTCACTCATTCATGATTAAAAACCAAGTTGATTAGGAATTTTTTCAAAAGATCTTATTTATTTTTAGAGGGAGGAAGAGAAGGAGAGAAACATCAATGTGTGGTTGCCTCTTACACACTCCACAGTGGGGACCTGGCTGGCAACCCAAGCATGTGCCCTGACTGGGAATTGAACCTGCAACCCTTTGTTTCACAGGCCAGCACTCAATC